TTGAATCACTCTCAAGCTTGTTATTTGACCAGACAAAGTTGAAGAAAGCGAAATACACTTGTCGTGTTTTAAACTATACACTTAAGAATCCTCACCTTGTCATGAGTGAGAAGTGCATAACTCTTTATTTAAATTTGGCATTAATTAATGAAAGCATCTCTAGGAATGGAAATTAAAACATCTACCAATTTGTACCATAGTTCTGTTTTATTTTCCCTGGAAAAATAATTAAAACAATCGAAATTTTATGAAATAACGAACCTACAACTTGGTGGTAAGTACCGTTTTAACTCATCCAAGTTCAACTGCAGTTACACCAAACTGCTTTTCAAAACATATTTTAGGGAGAACCTTGATCAGCATATACCCCAGATCAAACAACTTTGTTCCCCGAAGCTCTTCTCCAAGTTCCATCCCCTGCTTTGTTAGGGCATCCATGCTAGCCTACGTGTAGCTTTCCCCTTCCCATGGTGGAACGGAAGCTAGGGAACGTCTATGCAAACCCGATACTAATCCTGTTCCGTGACGTCACTCTAATTAACAATTGGTTCATATGTCAGCGTGCGTTCATCTAGATATGAAGCACGCGGGAAGTTTGGAGAGCACGAAAGATGCGTAAGAGTTCTCGAGGCGAAGCCGAGAGCAACTGCAGCTTCTTGAGTGCTCTCCAAACTTCCCAAGTGCTTCATATCTCGATGAACGCACAGCTGACGTATGAACCAATTGTTTTATAACATTTTCAATTTTTTTTTCTCGACGGATTTGTTTGCTGACGTCATGAGCGTGCACAATAGGAATATGAAGCACGCTCGCACAATCGAATTTTATAAAATAATTCAAATAGTACGCGCGCTCTGATTGGTCATAAAACCATTTTACATGAGCGTATGTAAACACGGTGTTCGTTCCTCTTTCATTTATTATTAGTTACTTTTTAGCGTGCGTTCATCGAGATATGAAGCACGTGGGAAGTTTGGAGAGCACGAAAGATGCGTAAGAGTTGCTCGAGGCCTAGCCGAGAGCAACTCTAGCTTCCGTTTGATCGGATCTCTTTATTTTTCAGAGTTTTACCGAAATTAAACTTCGCTCGAGCGAAACTGTCGTGACATTTTTCAAGACTTTAATTTGAGACAACTTTGGAGGACAATTTACAAAAAAACTACGGAACTCAGCAAAAAATAATTACCAAAAACATGTATATTAACTCTATCTTATCTATCGAGGCGACTTTCGTAAACATCACGTTTCAATCAAGCAAACAGATAGACTTGAATGACACTATCGGTTAGCCTGAGTCACACACGCGAAAACCGATCAAATTCAAGGTAAATTTTTGAAAAAAAGAGAGACGTTCTTAACTGATCCAACTAAGATAGCTAGGAAGTAAGTGCCGGCTAAATAACTATTGGGTTTTTATCAGTCTCAAATGTAATATGTTATGAGTTTCCAAGGAATGCTGTCCAATTTCAAGAGACAATCAAGGAGCCAGCGACGAAAGCGAAGCTTATCGCGGCGGAACGTTTTGCCAAGCAACAGGAATGGAAATGTGTCAATCGCAGCTGTTGTTAAAACAATGAATGACAGTGGACTATCCAGTTCTTTAACTACATCAGGAGACAAACGATAAACTTAGCTGTCAGTGTTAGTCACCACGATGACTAACTATATAAGCTTTTCTCATGAAATAGAAAATGGATATGAAACATAAAACTAGACAAAGAAAGTCGTGACATCAAAGGA